TGTGTGTGTGTGTGTGTGTGTGTGTGTGTGTGTGTGTGTGTGTGTGTGTGTGCGCACGATAATGTAACGAGTGCCTAATTGCTTTGAGATAACAAAGAGAGGATATGTGGGTGGGTTGTTAATGTGGATATCCTTGTTCTACCAGTGGAACGCTCCTCCTCAATAGATTGTTATCGATGGAAGCTCCTGGTGAATTGATTGCTATGAATGAAGGTTGATTGATTGGCATGCTCGAGCGACGAGCTATCATCCTTGTATTAAGGAGAGGCTTGAACTCTGAACACAATTCTGGTGTTGGTTCATTGGTAAGGTGAGCGAGGTGTCGTGCTTCGGTATAAGCATATTTGGATGAGCATCAGGTTTGCTGATCTTTTTTTTGTTTGTTTTCTTTAAAAGGGTACCCAACGTGAGCTGTCCTGCTAGCGGGGTACAGACTAACGAGGGGGGCCCAGCCCAGGGTGTTTAGTGGTCGAATGCCTGACCAGACAGGCGAACCCTTAGTCATTGCCCATGCAGGTTACCCGGACTCCCGGAGAGCATATCGGGCACACTACTACCTAATCGCTTATGAGTGGATTTGAACCGTCGGTTTCAGAAGCAGTAGGAAAAGTAGTTTGCACTTGCTTGTGGGCCTTGTGGTGTTCTTACGCGAGACTTACGGTGCACCATTGTCGTTTGCTTTCTCTCTCTTGGACTTGTTTTGATGGACACTAGTTTGCATGATCTTTCGTCGAGTGCATTTGAACCGTCCCCGTTGATTTCACATTTGCCAATACACTTGCACACTATACGATATAAGTTTATCTCTGCTCTAACTCATCACAACCTCCACTCAATTATAAATTGGGCTGGGTGTTTTATCGTGTGGCTATAGATAACGACTGTCCTGCTCATTAAGTGGACATTTCTCTTCGCAAGGATGTGCAGAAGGAATGGGATGTGCAGAAGGACTGGGATGCTGATGAATTAGGTTAAGAATGTGCATAGGTCATTGTGAAGAAAGATCGTCATGCCCATAAACTGGTCACTGTGAAGAAAGATCGTCATGCCCATAAACTGGCATGAAGTAGATTAAACTGGTGACCAAGGGGCCAGTTGGGGAGTTTTTGAAATGAAGATAGAAGTTAATCTATGCTCTTCATGGGTGTGCATAGGGACGGGGATGCTGATGAATTGAGTTGAGACTGTGCTAGCTGACTGTGAAGAAAGACCATTGTGGCCATGAAGGAGACTGAAACTGTGGCCAACGAGCTGACTGTGAAGAAAGACCGTCATGGTGATGAAGGAGACTGAGACTGTGACCAATGGGTACACCCTTGACTTGTATAAATGCAGACCAAAGTTTGAATCGCTACTGTTTGTGGGTGGGTGTGAATATGGAGGGGAATGGGATAATTGGTAGAAAGGGCCCTGCACCAGCTGCACAATTTCAGGTTGGGCATTCTCCACCAGCGGAGAGTGCTTTTCCAAAGCAGCTTCTGAGTGCTGACACCTATCCGAAGGTTTTCGAGGGGTGAAATTAGATAGCTAGTACTGTGCAGATATTAAAACCTCTCGGAATTCGGAGACGGAGAGTGGATAGTAGTGCAGCGAGACTTGAAAGGACCAGCCACACCACTGGCGCAATGGAACCTTAATATTCCCCAGGTATGGTAAGATGCACCACCTACTCTTAGTAGCAACAAATGCACCTGGTCACTCCCTGTTGGTTCAGGGGGCTTTCTACCGACTCTCCCACCCCCGCCCCTAATCACACCCACCCATGGAGTAGTGTAGGGATTGAACTGTGGTCCCCACTTCTGCAGGTAATGTGTGTTAATTAAGCAGGGCCCAATGGTCATCACCCTTTAGAATTTGACTCCTTCATGGGATGGTCATTCTTCACAGTCAGCTAGCACAGTCTAAACCGAATTCACCAGCATCCTCGTCCCTATTCACACCCAACCACGAAGAGTAGAGGTTCCAGCTTCCCTCTTCATTTCATCAGTTCACGGGTGTAGCAACTGGCCCTGTTTGTTGCTCACCTCCCACCTATCCTACACATTCAATGAAGGCAGTTTTGGTGCAATTTTACTTAATGCCTGAGTGTCTTGCTAGACTCGGGTAATAGTGATCTCCGTACATTCTTAACCCAATTCATCAGCATCCCAGTCGCTGGGCCCGGTTCCCAGTTTGTGCCAATTTGTGAAAATATGGTTGTCCAAAGAAAAAGAGAAAAAAAAAAGAAATGGTTGTATGAACTTGTATCTATGGGACGCTGGACCCGGTTTCCAGCAGGTGCTGCTCCCCACCAATAGATGGAGCTTGCCTTTTCAAAAAAAAAAAAAAAAAAAAAAAAAAATCATCAGCATCTCAGTCCTTCGTTGCAGTTCATGCACATCTTTTCGAAGAGCCTGTTTCCACTTTATGAGCAGGACAGTTATCAACCTTAGCAGCCTTTTTTTAAACACCCTGTACAATTTATCTTTGATGCCTTTCTCAGCTGCTCTGCTTGGTTACTTAAACTTACTTTTGCTTGAACCTCAGAACCAGGACAAAGGGCACCTGTGCTTAAGGCTCTGGACCTTTGTATTTTTTAAATGTATCTGGACGATAACGGCGTCAAGAGACATTCAAAATAACGGTGTTTGGCGACTGGTGCAGCAAGCCAAGCTACATTGCCGGAGATCCAACCTTCAATCGCCATCCATCATTCTTTTTGTTTTCTACTTTAAAACCGGCAGTGGTGCTTCCTGAAATCGTGCCCCGTTAACACGGCACAATTTTAGTGAATGTTGCCAACTACAGGAGCGTCCAAATTCATCGGACTAGAAACGTTTCCAAATTCATCCGACTAGAAACGTTTCTACTCTTTTTTTTTTTTTTTTTTTCACCGGCTGCGGCGGCTGACAGCTGGGCCACGTACTAGTGGGTTTGATGGCTGCAGTTGGATCTGCTGGAATTCTTCCTCTTCTTCATCATTTTTTTTTTTTTTTTTTTTTTGGGTACCTTTTGCTGGTATACTTGACTGCGGACCCCCAGGGGCGAGGTTTGACTACCATCTTCCCCCGAACACAACGCACCCCGATAATGAATGTACGCAAGCCAAGTTTTTGCTGCAGTATAAACGCATAATGAGGGTGTGTTGCGGTCCGGTAGCAGAGAGCATCCGATGTTTCTTTTATGTCTGTTTTTTTTTTTTTTTTTTTTTTT